TCTCAGTAAAAAGTCCAGGAGTGCGTATGTCGCTGTGTGTATGCTATGGAGGCCTATTTACATCCAAGCAGTGGCGTATTCAGCAAGTGCGCAGAGGGGCTCACACCCTTAAAAACGCTAATGCACCTCAACCTTCCGATCTTGGAAATTTTCGAATAAAAAATATTACTCTTAATTAGTTGAAATCACTAGCACTCCCACACCATCTTAAGTTATCTTTAAGCCCTTCCACTTCACCTTCGCATCCTTCCCCCACCCCATTAGCCACCAAATTTCAATACCCATAGGCTGTCTCTTATACACATCTAGATGTGTATAAGAGACAGATCCATAACATCTCATAATTTCTTAAACCTTTTCTTAACAGCTATATTGCATCGGAATGAACATACACAGAAACTAATACTAACCTATATACCTTAACAAATTGCCACCAAAATTAAAACTCTGCCTCCAGTGGTTGCCGAAATAATAAAGACAATATGGCTTACATTGAAACGTGTCAAAGGTTAAAAACGGCGTTTCCGGTCATTTTTAGCATAAATTTTCTATTAGAGTAAATTGAAACATGAATGCTCCAAACAAATTGACTCCAAAATTAACTCTCTACCACCAGTGGTTGCCGCAATACAAGGACCTTGTGGCTAAGACCTTGAAACGTGTCAAAGGTCAGAAACGGAATTTCCGTTCATTTCTTAGCAAAATGTTATAGAGCAAATAGAAACATGAATGTTCCGAACAATTTGGCACCACAATTCTGCCCCACTATGACAAAAGGAAGCAATGATGTTTGCATTGCTCTGAGTAATTAAGGAATTTGGAGCATGTTGATTTTGTCCCCTGCTTCCTTTTCTGTGGTTTTTACTGTATTTTTAGTCTCTTACTTCCTTTTTGTGTTGCTAATTACTTGTTAATGAGTGGGATTTGAACATACTCAAATATATCAATATGTTTCAAATTATTAGTTCTTTGATAGTGACTAAAAAACTCGTTTTTGAAAAATTGTCAATTACTTCCTTTTGTCATGGTGGGGCAGAATTAACACTACCAACTGATGTTTCGGAGATATAAGGACCCTATGGCTATGACATTTGACCCTGATCTTTTGATTTTTCGACACATTTTGAAAATGAGTTACAAAGCAATGATTCTTTGACCACCCTGAACCAATTTCTGAAGTGGAATTCGCTGGATCTCAAAGAACGTACAAAACCTGGTTTGGCTTCAAGGGTAATTATTACACTTGAATTGTGAAAGAATGGAAGCTCTTATTATTAGACCTTCCATTCTTTCACAATTTCCAAGTTCCATAGAGAAATTTCTTAAATTAAACCAATACTCAGTGTTATTTAGAATCTTTTAAAAAGGGTGTGGGCTTTCCAATAATCTGTTATGTTCTCTGCAAAGTTTAGATTCCTTTTACAGATCTGCTGGAAAAGTAATTTCTATTTTTACTCTCAGAAAAATTCTTGGCTTACTCAACTTAAATTGAAATTATCACCCATTCTCACTTTTGTTTTTTGGTTCAAGTGTAGATTTCTAGTGACATTTATCACTTTTTGTGTACATTTTCTGAAATTCAAAAAGGACTATGCTATTTTCAGAAGATGATTATTAATACGTTCGCACTCCAATTATTCATTTTGCAGGCCTAACAATGACAATTTTTATTGAGCAGAATCGATATCTCCCTATGATATCTAGTAGTGGAATACGTCTCCATGTGCATTCACAAAAGAATATGCCATTTCCAGAAGATGAAGGCCTACAAATTCCACCTGGCTACCACACATCGGTTTCAATTACAAAGGTATAACCATTTTGAATTACACATATATAAATTGATGGTGGCTATGCTAGAATAAACTTTTCAGTAAACAAAAGATTTTGAAGATTTTAAAAACTGCTAAAATAATAATCAAAGGCGATGTAAATATTAATATTAATGATGAATAATCAAACAGTCCTTCCTTTAACATTCCTTTATTCTTTGATCCACGATCAATTTAATCATATTATACGATCAACCATGGTATTTGTATTTGTATCGCACAACGGGTTAGTGAGAAAATATTGACATAATCCATTTATTCAGGTTTAAACAAACATATATAACAAGTATAACAAAAATATGGTTAAATGTTGAGTACGTATGCACACACTAAAGGCGTAGGCAGCAAACATCTTGTTTTTGTTATTTGTATTACAGTCGGTTACCAAACGAATTGGCAGTCCATACAACACTTGTGTTAAGGATTCAGATGAAAGTTTTCATAATATATATTCCGACCTATATGGAGTATCTTACTCAGTACAGGTAATCTCTATAATTAAGAATAAGTCTCAAATTTTATAGGAATTGATTACTAATTTGTTTATGAAAATTATTACTTATAATTAAAATCCGAATGAGAAAAAGAAATTTTAAATTGCAGACTTGTACGAAAAGTTGCTATCAAGAGAAAGTAGTTGAAAGGTGCGGATGTTTTGATTCTAATTACCCATTCCGAGGCGGCATCGGACCTTGCAGATATGGAATAAAAAACGATAGTAAGTTGGCATAATAATAGATGTTTTATCAGGGTTATCAATTATTTGTAACTAGATTTAGGATTATCGATCATAATCACAAGGTTATACATACTGATAAACTGATGTATTATACCATGTCCAATGGTTGATAATATTGTTAATGAATCATTAATATTATGTGTGGCGGATCCAAGAATTTGAAATAGAGGTGGCCCAAAAAGGGACTTTCACAGATGGAGGGTCTATACTACCTCAGATGAAAAGAAAATTTGTGATTATGTCACTGCTAAAGACCGGAAATGGCACTCCTAGACTAAAAATTTGACTGAGTAGAATTTACCTTTTTTTCTCATTTTTTTTTAAATTTTGAAACATTTAGTGGGGCCCTGGCCGGCCGGCCTCCTTGAATCCGACACTGATTAGGGGTTAGTATGTACCATTTCACTAACAATCTTGCTGACAGACAAACATTTAGCGGTGACTACAAAACTACCTCAGCCTTGAGGTAAATATTAACAGCTATCGTTTTACAACTATTGTTATCACAGGTGCATGTTTGTCTAAAGTTAGTGCTGACTATAAAAACAGTTTATTCCATTGCGACTGCCCTCAACCATGCAAGTAAGTCACATCCTTAAACGTGTTAATGATGTATTGCTGAGAAACCAAAATGTTATGTTATTTTCCAATTTATTATAATTATAATCACTGTTTAAACAATCATGCAGTTTTTACAGTAGTAACTGGCAATAATTAGTTGCCAGTAATTACTGTAAAAAATGCACTAGTTACTAAAAACAGTATTAACAATAAGTAATGTTATATAATAATAACCTACTTCTACTGTAATTAGCATACAGTAACTCCAGAAGGACCCTGGTGCTAACTGGGCAAATCTAGCAAGAACAGATCAGAATGAAGTTTAGGAGGCAATCGGTCAGCATTGGCCTGACAGGCTGATGATGATGATGATGAATTGCTGTAATAACAAAAATTTACTGTTGCGTAATTGTATTTAATTTACAATAAGGTAAAATGATTGCTGTAACATGAATTTCCGTTTACTGTGAAAAGTTTAATGTTTGATATATAAGTGCAGCAACATTTAACAAACCATTGTAAAAAATCAACACGTAAACACGTTTATGCAGACGATTTGCAGTAGGCTACTGTATATGTATTTCAGTGCATTTATATATTGATGAATCAAAATAATATTTCGTTAAAAAAGAAAGAACAAAATAATTTAATTTGTATATCATTATTATCCACTTTAGTGTAGATGAATTTAAAGTATCTACGTCTTTTTCATATTGGCCAACACCAAACTACAAGGTAAAGTTGATAATTAAATCATTAAATAATAGTAAAATACCTTATCGTTATTGTAATTAATCTGTGTAGTAGCAGAGAGCGAAAAAATCTTACCAGTTTCAAGGCTCAAGAGCATGTAAGCTAGTTCCAGCTGATTTTATTATATGAAAAAATCCCATCGAAGCTTACATGTTTCGGCACTGCCGGCAATCATCTGCCATATTATAGTGATACTCCACCTAATCATAAGAAGAACCATTGAACAGCGAATGAGTTTGTGAGGTAGCATTGAGTTTCACACATTTTTTAAAGATCAGATATAGTTATGTATGAAGAATTGATGATGAAATATAATCTACCGCAAGATTCTTTGATTTGAGATTTAATTTTTCTTTATTTACAATACAATGCATCGCAGTGACAGTTGTCTACTTCATTCACAGTATAAATAGAGCTACATAAGAGCAATCACACCGAAGATGGCAGATGTACTGCCGAAACATGTATATTTCGATGGAAATAATATATAACTGTAATTAATAATATTATGTCAATGATAATATCAGTCATTGACAAACAGTTACGGTACCGTATTAATTGTATCATATTTTAATTACAATGAAAACATTATCATTAAAGTGATGTTTTGGCCTATCTGACGTGTTATCGTACCGAATACTAAGTAAGTCCCCAAATATCGCTAGTTATTCGGGGTAGGAATTTTTCCACTACCTCCAGATAACTAGCCTGGCGACATAACCACTAGACTACCGAGCTTGCGCGTAGTGACTAGTGTTGAATCCGATCACCAAGTAGCAGCGGGTACTGCAAATGCTATTTCGATGTGAGTTTGCGTCAGGAAAATATCATATGACTGATATTTTGCCCTACCTGAAGTGATATCGTACCGAATACTCAGTACGTCCCCAAATACTTGCGAAACAATTTCGCAAGTGATTCAAGTGGGAATCGAACCCACGACCTCGCAAGTATTTGGGGACGTACTGAGTATTCGGTATGATAAGTCAGGTAGGGCAAAAAATCACTCGTATAGTATTTTATTGACGCAAACTCATATCGAAATAACATTAATATACACTATTAACACATTTATATTATCAGTAGTTATTTAAATAAGGCTTATAATGATTTTTAAAAATATTACCGGTATTATTATATGAAATTTTATTTTTTTTTCTTAGCATGTATAATAATGTAAAGGCCTATAATTAAATTACTGTTTTTCTATGCATTTTTAACAAAAATATGAGTATAGCACATAATTATAATTTATATAAAATATCATGCAGAACGACTTGCTGGGACTACTAAACGTATCGTCTCCAAACTTACATGATATAGTAATGAAGGATGAAAAAGACATGCGCACATTAAGGTATTACCATTATGAACGTTTGTTTGTAGCTATTAGGTTTTATTATCAATTACGAAAACATTGCGGCTTATATGTAAATGATAAAAATGTGAAACTCTTAGATAAATACAACAGCCTGTAATACTGTAATTTCCAATTTCCAATATTCTATTTGATAGAGAGAATCTGCTACTTCTGGATATATACTACGCCAATTTAAATTATGATTTCATACAAGAATCTGCCGTGTATTCAGTAAGTTATTATATTTATTGTTGTTTGTTGAGTCAATCTTTAGTTTGATTGACCTGCCAATTTTCGATTTCAAACGGTCGTTTGAAGTCTGATAACATTTACATACTGTCAAAGGTAAACTGTTGTCACGTGACGGTATAATGGCCACTAGTATTAATCGACGGTCGATGAATTTAATTAGAACTATCAATATTTTATTTTGTCTCCTACGATGGGAAATAAAACAGGTGAAAAGATTCAGACTTATTGTATAAAACATAATAATACATTACTAACGTAAAGTAGAGATATAATATACTGCATTAAATCCTTTTAAACTTGATTTTTTTTTGGTAATGTAACGTACTTAAAGCAATTAAAATATAAAACATCCTGTTAAATATATACGATAAATGCAAGATGTATATGCACGATACATGTATACATAATGTCGGATACAGATAAAGTGCTTTCAAATTACTATAGGCCAATTTTATTTTAACGAAGTAATTCTTTATGTTTCTTTATCTAGAGATCTGACCTAGCAAGCGGACTTGGAGGTACAGTGGGCTTATGGATAGGGGTTTCGGTCCTGACTGTGTTTGAGGCAATAGAGTTTATTTACGATGCTGCATATCTTCTTGTGACAAAAGTATGCATCAGAAAAAAATCCAAATCCAAATTACCGAAGAGAGGTGCAGAATCTACGGTTAACAACACTTCCGAGATCGTGGCTTCAAAAATAGACAGGCGTTTTATACCGGTTGTTAAGCCGTATGGAGAAGCAATATTTAATTAACAGTCCCTGTATTCGCTACCGTTTGAATATATATATGTATGTATATGTATATATATATATATATATAATATAAATCATTATCATATCCTTTATTCAAACAACGTATTTACCTTTCTTTAATGATTTATATGTAATTTAACAATGTTAACGGCTATCTTGATTTATTTTATATGCAACTATTTGTTTCCAGTCGTACCTATTGTGTAACAGAGTGTATCTGGCGATTATTTTAATCTGTTCAACCATGAAGCTTTTGTGGTCTAATGGTTATGACGCTTGTCATAACAGTGAGAGTTCGCAGGCTACAACACTATTGTGAGCCTTTTGACCTACAGTAAAATAAATACGTTTCTTTTATTTGTGAGTTTACACAAAATAAACGATACACTTGATTTAAAATTTAAACACTCATGAAATACATTTGCCACCTATTAATTAAAAAGATTACCATACTGATGAAAAACACATGTCATTCTACATGCCGCACAGTATATCTAGAAAAATACATAAGTTTTTTAGTTAGTAGGCCTAAGTTTACACAAGATACACTTCATTTAGAATGCAAACACTCATGAGATGTTTAATAACCGTTGCTACTTATAAATGAAAATGATTACCATGCTGATAACAAAACATATTCTACATGCCGCACAGTATATCCAGAAAAATACGCAAGTTTCTTTTATTTAGAGTAGGCCTAAGTTTACACAAGTTTAATGATACACTTGAATTTAAAGTGCAAACAGTTATGAGATGATTGATAACGATTACCATGCTGATGAAGAAATCATCTTTAACTACATGCCGCACAGTATTTCCAGAAAAATAAATACGTGTTCTTTTATTTAGTAAATTTAGAAAAAGATAAGCATGTGACTTAAAACATAAAATAAACAATACATGTGATTTAAAATGCAAACATTGATGATGAGATACTTAACAACCTTTGCCACGTATTAAAAAAAGAAGATTAGGCCTACCATGCTGATGAACAAAACAGAGCATTAGATATGTGCTACTATATTTCTTTAAAAATAGATACTTTTTCTTTTATTTAGTACACAAAATAGACAATACACGTGATTTGCAAACACCCATGATAAAATAATCAGTAACATTTGCCACCTATTAAAAAAGATTACCATGATGATAAACAAAACATATCCTTAGCTACATACCACTACTGTAAAATACAGAAAAATAAATCCGTTTTCTTTTTAGTAAGTTTACACAATAAACGATACACGTGATTTAAAATGCACACTCATAATGAGGTACCTTTGCCACTAATTAAAAAATATGACCATGCTGATAAACAAAACATTATCTTTAATTACATAGCTAAAGTACTTCCATTTACTCATATAAAATAAAACTGAAATAATTCTTACCAAAAATTGTTTGTATTGTAACTTATATGTACATTGCCCATTTGTTGTATCTTACGTTTGTTGTATCTTACGTATGTTTTATAGAATGTTTAATAATCTAACCTATCCTTGTTGTTTTCTTGTGATATTGTAGTTGGTAGAGATCTTATTCAGTTATGTTCACTTTTTTAGACAATTAATACAGTATCTTTATCATGATAATACAGTACCTATACAATTATTGTGTTGCTTAAAACTAAACGTAATAAAGAGACATGTACTTGTTCCTGATAAAATAATTTAATTAAAAATCGTAATTAATGAAATTATATAAAAGGTTAAATATGCCTAATAATAATAATTGTTAAGTTTGTAACAAATTTTTGAATATCTCCATTAAACAATTGAAATACCGGAATAGAAAAAAGAATGAAATTCTTATTTTTAAAAAGTGTTATAACATTGAAAAAAGGTGTTATAATATTGAAACAAGTAGTACAGAAATGACAGCGTTAAGAATACTGCAATGGTACTTATTATTTCGTTTGCAAATGGCGTAGTGGTAGTGGACCTTGATGTTTGTCAAGTCAAATTGTACATTAAATAAACAAGTGAATGGACCATAGTAATAACTGACTTGAGGTGTATGATAACATCATGTTAACAACTCTAGGCTGAAATTGCTTAGGCTGAAATTGCTTAAAAATTAAGAACAAAATAAGAACAAATTGAGGCTGAGGTAAAATATGTCAAATGAGGTATTTTTATTTTAAAGACCTTACTGTCTGTGCGATAGGTCTGACTATGTAACACAGTCAGTTATGTGTACCTACCTGTCATTTTTTTCCGGGACCCTTTTTCAGGGGCCATTTTTACCTACATTTCAGTACAGCGTATATAGAGTGCACATACAATAATATTTTTTTTGTTTGAAAATTGTGTAAGATAAGAACAAAATAAGAACATTTTGAGCCTGAAATCGGCCAAAAAATATTAACACTGAGTCTGGGCAAATTTTATCTGGTTCTTATAAAAAAAGAAAATTGTAATTACTTGACTTTATTCCAGCAATCCGTACCAGTGCAAGGATGTCAATATTTTATTAGAACGACCTTTAGTCTCTTTAGTTCTTACTCAGTTGTTGATAACTGTTAAGCTACGTTTATAGGCCAGATGTTATTTTCTAAGCGGCACGGTCCGTATCGAGTATAAAACATGGATAGAAAATTAACATTTATTTTATGCTTTATAGTAGGAGTGCTTGTGTTTGTTGTAGTCTTTTTTCCAACATACTTTGCTAGAGATTGTGGTTGTGACGTTACAGAACCTACACCGACAGAACCTACACCATTACCTAAATCTGAGAGGGTATCATGCAGCCCACTAGGCGGAACAGACCAGGAGAGTTGCATCAGTCATGGCTGTAAATGGGACGCGAACACGGGAGACGATAAAGTGCCAAAATGTTTTTATCCAACAGCGTATGAAACGTACAAATTAGCAAGTCAGGTGAAAGAATCATGGGGATACCGTATCAAATTGGACCGTAACATTGATTTGAAAGCAGTTACTAATAACCCGATTGATATTGTCGTACTGGATATTGAATTCCAAACAGAGAATCGACTCCGTATTAAGGTGCGTGTGTACACATAATTTTCAAAAATATTGTTTAATCATATGCGTATATAGTCTTCATTACAATTACCGGTATAATAACATCATTCGTTTCTATAATATTCGAGCACTGTTTGTAAGCCTATTATTCAGCAATTTGTTATATTTATATAGGTAGTGAATCATACTTTGTAATCATAGATGTGCTACTAGAAAGTACTTTGCAAATGAAAGAAAAATTACCTTTTACATAAAGAACTGTAGCCAATAATTTTGTTTATAATATTGAGAAAAGATACTAATAAAGAATGTAGTAGAATGTGGGTTATACAATGCAAACTAAATGTTGTGATAGATGCAGACATTCTTTATTCGTCACGTATTGACTCATTTTAGCGATTAATATGGTCACTATATAATTGTTATTCCGTTATATTTAGTGAACATACACATTTGTACCAGCCACAATCACGGATATGTTCAACTTACCTACTATATTATACAACGCTATATATACACCAGACGAGGATCCAGCAGCTTTGCCACTAAATGTTAAATTTTCAATGCATATCAATGTCATGTTTTTGAAATTATCACTTCTCACTTATCCATTCTTAAAATGTTGTGCTTCCCTCCCTGAAGATGGAGTAAATCAATAAACATAATTCATACCCATTATCTCCAAGGAGCCAACAATTCTTAAATTGATGTTCGACTAACTGCATTCTAAGAGATGACTCACTATATATCCGGCAATCATTATTTATACAGTAGTTTGATTCAGTTTTCAATCAATCTACACGGAATCTTTTTACCATTGTACATAGTCTAGACAACAATCATATCATCAAAGTTATAACTTACAAGTTCAATATCAGTTTGATTTAATTCCGTTCGCGTTGTACAGCAGTTCATTACCTTCTTTGTAAATGTTTGTCCACTGTTAAACCACTCATCCAACAGAAAAAGAAAACATTAGACCTATCCATTTTATCGAAATAGTAGGTATATTAATCACAAATCATTCAAAAACGATTAAAATATGAACTTCCTTAGTTTTCATATTTTTATTAGTTTTCAATATTATAGTGTTTTTCTCTTCTACTTTAAATTGTTTCCTTTTCCCAATTTCACTCCATTTTTTTTTTTTTGTAATCAGTTGTATTTATAATAAGCACTCGAATTCTAATGTATCTGTATCTTGACGTACACACACCCAATGTGCTGGTTGTTGCGTACGTTGGTATGGTCAAGTCTGTGTGAAGCAACAATTATAATGAGCTTTGGTCGTTAATTTATGTATCTTGATGAGTTCAAGGCGGCTTTATGACATTAAATTGAGTGTTTATACCAATTTTACTTTCATGCTTGGCAGAGATATATATTTTTTTGTACATGTTGAATTTTAGTTGGAAAAAAAAAACTCAGCAGTTAACGAAACGCAGAAAGAAGGAACTTGCACAGTGTAACGATTCTCAATGATAAAGCCCGTCCATTTCCTCATTGGTAAAATTTGCATAAATGGGAAGTAAAAATACAAATTCGATAGGGAAGTAGTTTCTATTTACATATGTGTTGTTATTTTATACAGACAAGAAGAGAACTTAGAACTGTGCCTTCGGTTTCCACGTTTTATTATTTGAATAGGCATTCACAGTATATGTATTTACTTAGCATAAATTTCAACTAATTTACAGAGGCACGTATCACCCGACAGGATTAGTTTTGCGCTTGATCTGATTTATATTGCTAACCTGGACGGTAATTCGTCACAAACATTTGGTCCTTACTCAATTAGTGTGTGATTGAAAACTTACATATTGCAACATGACACAAAAACAGCAACAGCAACAACTGCAACAACAACCACCACGCCACCAACAAAAATAAAAATAATAATAAATTATAAATTACAGTAGTTGGAATGATAAAGAAATATATACCACAGTAATATTTTTTTTTTCAATTCATTAACAAATTAAAAAATGGCCATAGCAAATTATTAACCGTACACCGAACGAGTATTAGTTGATTATATATATATATATATATTTTTTTCTCTGACTTAAATTTTTGAATCCACAGTTTTACGACTCAAAAAAACGCAGGTTTGAAGTCCCAATGGATATGCCAGTGAAGCCAAACACAGCTCCTGAAGCAACTACTTATGATGTGCAGATTGTTGAAAACCCATTCAATGTCAAAGTGATTCGTAAATCTTCGAAAGAAGTGGTGTAAGTGAAATTTAAATCTATTATTTTGTTCATCTTTAACGTTGACGCACATAAACTAAAGTATGGTATATAATATGCCTAGGCCTATTATTATTATTATTGTATCAGTGGCGGATTTAGGGGGCAGGCCCCCCTCCCTTTTGGAAAGTTAAAAAATGAAGGGGAAAAAAGGACAGAAAAAGAAAAAATTTATCGCCAAAAACGCATCAGAGGCTATTTTCGGGCGTCTATAAAAAACAAAAATTTCGCGGGGGCACGCCCGGCCTGCGGACGCCCTATGGTGGTGTTATAACTCCCCCCCCCCTTTCGACACCCTTTCGGACATCTCTGGATCCGCCCCCGAATTGTATCAATGAATCTTATATTTTCGATGAAATTTTTATTTCCAATTCAGATGGGATATGTCAATCGGCCCATTATACTTTGAGGATCAGTTCCTTCAGCTATCAACACGCCTGCCTTCAACAAGCGTATTTGGCTTCGGAGAGACTGAACAACCCTCGTTTATGCATGACCTTAACTGGAAAACATGGGGTTTTTTCTCAAGAGATCAACCTCCATCTGTAAGTCAATGAATGGAAAAAAATGTAATAATTAAAGCTATTCACAAAGTTTTTACACCAATTGCACTTTCGGGTTATAAAATACAAGTATAACATTAACCAGAAACTAACCTTGGTCTAATAAATAACCAGACATTCAAAGAAAGTAAGCCAAAATATTTAACACAACCAACAATAGTAAAAACTTTAAATATAATTATATTGTATTATTTTATTTTATTCAGTTTTATTCATAATACTGATAAGCTTGCAAACCTAAGTCTAAATTGCATAGAGGCCTTTTTTTATTATGCACTATATTAATGGATACTTAATTTATATAGTTGATAAACATAATATTTTATAACAATAATAATTATTTATATCATTATTATTATTTTACTATTATCAGTAATGAGAGCAGCTGAGCTCAGTCGGCTAATATGGTGGTAGCCACTGTGTGTGCGCTGAACCGTGGAGATCTCTAGATCCCCGATACTATTCCCATCGCTGCCTCTCCTTGTGTTTCAGCTAGAGGGCTGGAATACAAGTTACAATTGCAATTAGCGCACCGGTGTGCATTTATGGCCCATGTGCACGTTAAAGAACGCAGTACACTCTTCGGTGTACTGCCCAATCACCACCAGAAGGACCCCACTGGAAATAAGTCTTCTTCTAGATTTTCGTGGGCTATCCTTGGTGTTTACACCGAATAAATCCAATCCAAGCTTATTGCTATGTTGATGATGTGTACAAAGATGTACGGTACTCTTTCAATTTTTCTTTATACTTTTGTTGTTTAGACTGGTAACATGTACGGTGTTCAGCCATTTTATATGTGTCTTGAAAATGATTTCAATGCGCATGGTGTTCTCCTTCTGAACAGCAACGCTATGGGTAAGAACTTTGAATTATATTGATGCTAACACTGATAAATTTATATTTGCCTTGTATTTCAGCCAAATAATTTAGCAGGCCTATATAAAACTGTGATAATATTGTTTAAAAAACACAAGTGTCACCTTTAACGTTATGATGACGATGATGACGATAATGATTATTATCATTATTATTATCACCTACCGTATTCAATCCAAATGTCTTTTAAATCGTACTCCCTTTTTACACGCATTGTGTCTTCTGGAACGTTACTATAATATTTTATTAAAATTACCCTTCCCTATCCTTCAGCTGTAGAGATACAAGAAGCGGAAATTATATTATTGGGATTAGGGTCTATTCATGAACGATGTTACAGCATGATGGTGTCATATTATGCTCTGACTAATGTTGGTTTCCTCTCCTTATAGACGTGGTACTTCAACCGGCACCGGCGTTAACTTATCACACTATAGGGGGCGTCCTCGATTTCTACCTATTTTTTGGTACTTCCCCTGAAAATGTGATACAAGAATATACTTCAGTAAGTTGAATACATGTTTTTCTGACTTTTATCGATAATTATAAGGGATGCTTTAAAAGATATGCTATTAGCAAAGTCATTATAGCATGGATCACAACTCACTCGGTGGTTTTTTTATTCTTTTTAAATTTTAGGCAATTGGACGCTCATACTTACCCCCATATTGGGCACTTGGTTTCCAACTAAGTCGCTACGACTATGGCAGTCTCGATGAGGTTAAAATCGTTGTTGATGGTATGAGAAAATATGGAATTCCACATGTAAGTTTGCACAATTCTTGTCTTTATTATCGACATTAAGAGAAAGATCAGTTGTCATAAGTCATTAGGACAATTATGAAACTACCTGTGTTGGACCAAAATATAAAACACCGTAAGACATAATATAGCTTCATTCCCAGCTTGTATTTCTGAAGCATATTATTAAACAAAACCTTTTTGGCATCTAGTCTGCATTGATTTGCAACTTAGTTGGAAAGTTTAATGTAATTTCTAAAGCCAGCTGAAGGTTAGGTTTCCTTTTTTCTGGTGCTGCTAAGTTCTATTTCATGCTTTTATATGGCATTAATTTTACCAATTTTAGAGAATTTGCCTTTTAGAGAATATACCTACAGAGACCTAAGTCTGTAAGGTAGTGTGAGAGAAGATTTAGGAGTTAGATTGTTTTTGTTATATACACATAATATAAAATCATTTTGTTTATAGGATATCCAATATGCTGACATTGATTATATGGAACGACAGCTTGATTTCACCGTTTCTGCAGATCGTTATGCAGGATTTAAAGAATATGTCGACCAAGTGAAAGAAGAAGGCACTCGTTACATCACGATTCTTGTAAGCCAAAAAGATCTATTTTGTTTTTATTTACGTGGCATTAGATACATAATAGCAAATAATGATGGTGACAGGCGCGGAACCAGACCTTCGCCTAGTTTGCCCAGGTGAAGGTCAGTGTGAAAAAAAAATAAAATGTTGACCATTTTTCCAACAATTATACTTAATTTTATTGACTCTTATTTTGAACATTACCTTTTATTTGAATATCATCATCAGGACATTATTTAAGTCCACACAATCCTACATGTTACAATTTCACACTGGTTGTACTGCAGGCCCTACCAGAGATGTACATTCCCATTACATTATGGTCTTCCATTTCTATAGCGCATGATACAGTGCATGACAAACTTTACGTAACCACTACTAAATCATTCGGAGTGAGGCTCAGCTCAGTTGTACATGTGTCTGTGTGTTTTAGCATTGTTTTAAATTAATAACCTATCATACATTCACATCAACTGCAAAATATATTTGTATTAACTATTGTTTTCAGTAAAAGTGGCGTATCCAGGATTTAAGGAAGGGGGTGGGGTGGGTTTGGTGCTGATGAAATGAGAGTCCACACTACGTCAGCGCCACCGTAGTTGGCGGTGACGCAAAATTTCAGTATTTTATACCTTTTGGGGGCTCGGAAATAGAACCTTTTAATTCTTTTCATAAAAAAAACCCCGAATTAATTAAATAGGTACCAGAAAATGGCACTTTAATACTTACAGTTACAAAATCTATAAACAAAAAAAAAATCCAACTGAGAACTACACTGGTTGGGTCTCAGGTGAGAAAAGTTTGAGAATTTGACACAAGATATGATGCCCAAAAAATAGCACTTGAATAGTACAAAACATACTATATCTACCTGAGCCCTACCCCCCCCCCCCATGGTTTTGTGCGCAAGTGAATTAATTTTAAGAATTTGAGACTTTATAGATGCCCGAAAACGGCACTTAGATAATTAAAATTTATGAAAACTACCAATCCATACACCTCAGCCCACCATATTTGAGGCTGAGGTAAGACAATTTTAAGAATTTGAGACATTTAGATTCCGGAAAATGGCAATTTAATACATAAAAGCTACGAAAAATTACTATATCCACCTGAGCCCCACCATGGATGAGGCTGAGGTAAGAACATATTACGAATTGGGGAGTTTTAGATGCCAGAAAATGGCACTTTAATACATAAAAACTAGAAAAATTACTATATAGACCTGAGCCCCATCATGGTTGAGGCTGAGGTGAGAAAATTTTAAGAATTAGGGACTTTTAGATTCCGGGAATGGCACTTTAATACATAAAATGTATGTCCTTTATTTTTAACACTTAAAAGGGGCACTTTATATTTTTTTTCAATCTCCAAGGACCTCTCGCCCCCCGCGGTAACGCCACTGCAGCAATATCTCCCTTGTCTCCCTCTAGGGGTGGGGGTACACAGGCATCCAGCAATATCTTCCTTGTCTCTCTCTTTTTATCGGGCAAATGATGAGCAAAGTTATAACTTTTTTATGACTGTTCTCCACAAATCTCTGTTTTCCATATGTTGTGAAATGTAATCTGTAATCTAATTGTGCTCGATGTATGTATATGGGCCGTCCTTGCTTCCTTTTCCCATGGGCTGATTCCCAAAAGAGAACCCTTGAAATAACTTCATTTTTTACTTCTTTTACTTTACCTTCGTATCCTCAAAGTTCTTGATACGGGGAATATCTCCATACAGGTCTTTATTTGTAATATGTTGTTTATAGGCCTAGTTGATATTCAAAGCATGTCTGAGTGATCTTGTATAATAACCATCAAGTCCTCTTTCTCAAAAATATCTTCGTTTATCTATTTATAGAAATTCCGTAATAAGCAATATTTGTTTTAAAACCCTAGGTCACGTGAGTTGGAATTCCCCCATGCAGTGGCGGATTCAAGGAAAACCCAGTCGGCCCGGGCCCTGGTAAATATTTCAAAATTATTTTTAAAGAATGGAGAAAATACTGAAAATTTCCGGCCATCTAGAGGTGACGTAATCTGAATTTTTCTTACCTCCGCCCCAACCATGGTGGGGCTGATGTAGTTATATGTGAAGGTCCCTCTCTGGACACCCTCTATTTCGAATTTCTGGATTCACTACTGCAAAGGACCACCCCATCTGAGCGAAGGTCAGGGAAAATCCTGGATCCGCGCCTGGGTGATGATATAGATCATAATAACAATGATGATGATGATGATGATGATGATGATGATGATGATAATAATAATAATAGTACAGTAATAGTAATAATTGTTGTAATAATAATAATAATAATTTTTGTAATAATAATAATAATAGGCCTAATAATAATTGAACATCTGAAATTAGAAAAATGAAAATAACAAATGATATCTTAAACAGCCTAGATCCATCCATAGGGGAAACCTTAACAATGAAGAGGGTTAAAAACAGTACCTTAAGGCTATATTATGATATATATATATAATATATATATATGTATATATATATATATATATGTATATATTTATATACATATGCCTACATTAGGTAATATAGGTATATTATCCTGTTATCATGGTTCATAATACTATAATATATTAACAATATAATGTTACGTCCATCAGGATCCGGCAATTAGTGCTAACGAAACTACAGGAACTTATCCACCTTACGAAAAGGGCGTAGAAATGGATGTCTTTATTAAGGACGAGCAAGGAGACATTGCTTATGGCAAGGTAAGCTTCACAATATTTTAATTTAGAAACTAATTTATTTACACGAAATGCTTAGAACTAAAATCAACATACATATTAGATCAGATCACTCTTAAAGGAATCCTTCCGAATCCGTAATTGAGAAAGATTGTAAGCCTAACCTTAAGCAGAACACAAGTCATTTTCTTTAATTTTTGTGAATACTTTTTGATCTTATAATCAAGCAATTAATTTACTTTACTAATTTAATTAATCTTCAACAATTAGATCAAAGAAGAGAAGATATTCTACTTGTGTTTGCAAAAAATCTAAATACAATTATCCCTAATGCAATGATAAAAAAAAAAGATGGGATAATACTTATTAATTCCAATATGCAAAGTGAGATATATTGCAATACTGAAAGATTTAAAAACTCTTGTTTTCCAACCTTGTGTAGATTATTTAGCAAAACTAAGTAAATTGCCCATTGTTTGAAAAGATTTTTAACACCATGTTCCTTATATCTGAGCAATTTATATCAAAGTCTTCATGGGAGTGTTCATTTCAATTTCAATACCTATTCTATGTGTATTTGCGTTGTGGTCCTCTCTGTTGTTAATGACTGTCTCTTATACACATCTAGATGTGTATAAGAGACAGATATATATATATATATACAGATAGATAGATAGATAAACAAATAGATAATATAGTGTTCGAATAGGAACAATCCCGAGACGTTTACATACATCTGAAATAAAGGAACTTTTTATTGATGAGCTACAGTATGCTTGATACGACTATACAACTTGATTGATTGATTCTGTATGTGTGCTTTGTGTCTAATATAAGATGTATAACACGTTAAAATGCTTGAAGGACTCTCAGCTTCAAAGTAATGCTAATATTATCTATGTTTAACATTATTATTAATAGGTTTGGCCTGACTACCCAAATATCATAGTAGATCCGACAAAGGACTGGGATTATCAAACTGAGGTATGTTTTCAATTCTAATAGCGCATTATCGTCGTGGATTGATATTGTCTAGATATGTATAAACGATTATTGTTTAACGCTGTGACTCATTTACCAGAAAATAAATCCACAGTACACTAAAGCATCTGAATTATTGAATATTCATCTATGTTTACATTACATTACTGTTTACATTACATTACTAAAACTTGCACCCATTGAGTTTTCGGACATTGATGGTGTTAAGATTAATCTAAGTATTTTCATCATAATCATTACCATCATTATTATAAAAAATACTTTGTTCATGGTTATTTTACATAATTCATATATCATATTATATACAGTAGTATGTCATACATAAAATAATACAAAGAACGGTAAACGTATGAAAACACGACAAGAAGGCCAACACAACCTTAGTTGATACCTGACAGGATTGCTCAAAAGTCGAGGAGCTCCCCGGATATCAGCTGATCGAATTAAAATTATTATTTGATGTTGTAAATAATATTTTAAATATAGGTCTATGTACATGTCGGTAAAGTGTTATAATCATTAATATGCAGTTAAAATAATGGTTTATTCAAAATATTAAAATATTGAAACTGTAATCAAAAAGTAATTCAAGCATGTAAGAAATGGCGTTTAAGAAGATTAAGAGAGTTTGTGATATTAATAATAAGTTTATTTCGAAGATGTACTGGCAGTTTATAATTTTGCAGATACGTGGAAATGAGTTAAGAATTGTAAATTTGATTGAACGAGCAAAGTTGTGAGAAAAATTAAGATGATTAGGTGTCAATGGTTAATTGAAATGAGTTCTGCAGAAGTGTTGATGTGAACATGTTCATATAAGCATTTGAAAACAAAAGAAATGTCGAGATATTGGAACCTAGGTTCAAAAGTCATTGTGTTAAGTTCTGTAAGACGATCTTGATAACTTGGCCTGTCATTGAATTTCATAACAGAATTTAGTTATTCTACGTTTCACTTCTTCGAGAGATTGGGTGTTAAAATGCTGGTGAAGCGTCCAAACAGGTAAACCTATTCGAGAGTAGTTTAACATTTAACGTACAATTAATTACAATAATTTTACATTTCTTTTTATAGCATTACAGAGCATATGCCGCTTTCCCAGACTTCGTCAAAAATTCAACAAAAGAATGGTGGATAGAGCAGATACGAAATTTGTATAACAACGAATTCAAATTCGACGGATTGTGGATTGTGAGAAAATATAAATTATTAGCGTATTAGATTTGACAAACACTTTGAAGAGTGAATAAACATACTGAAAAAAAAGAATGTCCACATATCACATAGGCTTATATTGGAATTATATATGTTATATATTATATATTATTATATTATGTTATACATGTTTTTTTTATTATACCTATACCAGTACCTATACATATGTAATGTAATAGGTACAAGTAAATACATTTATTACTGTACATAAGTTTTATCTTAATACACGTGTTATATTTCAGGATATGAATGAACCTGCTAGTTTTGTCGAAGGATCCGTTAATGGATGTTCTGAAAATGAGTTGGATGTACCACCTTACAAACCAGGCAAGTCTGTACCTTACGATTTGAACAAAAATTCAAGTATGGTAGTAAAGCACCCACATGACTCAGACTAGTCTGCCACGATTAGACTAGCTTTCGCTGCCAAAATATTATGCAGCAGATAAAATAATTAAAATATAAAATTTATCAAATATGGACAAATTATGTAAAAGCGTTTAATTCACTCAGTAAGAGTGCATTTATTACAGATCTGCGTTATAAGACATAACTAGGTATCAATGCTTAGTGCACAGTGTTCATTTTGAAAACAATGTCTTTCTGGAGCAAACCCATTTTATAACTATGGTATATAGGTATCATCGTAAATGTAGAATTCATGGGCTCTGTTTTTTATACAATAGGACAATACAAACCTCTCATAGTTCACAAACGTAGAAATGTTTACTTCAAGCACTGAAAATCTCTATTTTTTTAACATTTACAGCCATTTACGGAGAACGATTAGCAGATAAAACGCTTTGTATGAACTTCCAACAACACCGGACAGAAACGGAAATGTCTAATCACTATAACATGCACAGTTTGTATGGCTGGTCTCAGACTCCAGTAACGCTACAGTATGTTAATCATTAGAAAATTATGATATATAAAGGCTACTAATCGATTTAAGAATCTTGTTCTTAAAAATTACCTTAGTGGTTTCAGTTAATCACATAAATCCGTGCAAAAATATTATGAGCCCTCAAGTGAATATATTGAAATAAATTCTTCAGGTTTCGTAAAGATAGTTACAAGTAAGTAATTTCATAGGTATTTCATAGGAGGTATTATAATTCCACACATCATTGATGATCTCATCGCCACAATACAACGCAGGGTCGGCCAATTAATCCTAGAAAAACCATCGATTAGCGCGCTTTTTGCGGTTCACAGTATTTAGTCGCCGTTTCAACAATAGAACCAAGAATATGAACTAAGAGTTCATGAAACGTCGGTAAGTTTCGCCTTTAAAAATTGTTGGGTTCAACCTCAATGAAAAAATTCTCCCAAGAGAGAGTTGAAAAGGTAAATAAATAAAATAAATAAACGATGTTTTACAACTTATCATTTTTAATAATGACTTTCTTCTGTTTGCAAATGCAACTTTTTATTGAGGGAGGGTGGTATTACTTACTTACACACACATGCACGCTCCCACGGAATACTGATTCACATGATCTACCACATGAACATGGGGTGAGAATCATAGATGTCGGGAATAATATACCTTGTCAAACACACAGTGCCGTCAAATTTTGTTTCACCACTGGCAGCACCACTGAGTAAATTGCTGTTGGAAATATTACACGTAAGCGGTTATCCATTTTAATCTGTAACCTGTCATTGTAACTGGAAATATTTTTCTATCACACCAAATTCTATGAATATGCCTGTTTTCTAATATTTTACAGAGCAGTTCGATTGGTAACTGGAAAAAGGAGTTTCGTCGTTACCAGGTCAACTTACGTAGGGTCTGGGAAATATAGTGGTCATTGGTTAGGAGATAACACCAGTATTTGGCCGCATCTTCACAAGTCCATTATTGGTATACATCAGTTAATCCCTTCAAACAATATAATAATTTTGTCTGTAACCATTTTGTATACTTATTTATGTTTTTAAACATATACCGGTATCATTTATCATATTATATTTCTAGTGTCAATCTGTCCTTTTTGTAAAAACTACATTCCAAATCTCCCAGCACTAAGCAAATTCGTAGTTTGAACTACACATGCCCATATCCAAGTTCAGTCGACATATACCTATGTTTAGTGTACGTTTGTTTATGGCGATAGAACTTGATATGGGCATGGCAGCTTCTCGTTTTTTGACATGGTCATCCTAACAAGGAATTCCATTCAACATTTTTCTGTCTATGCAACTGGGGTTTTTTTTATTTGTATTTATTTTGTGTATTTCCTAACACCAGGCATTCTTTCTGTTTTGCAATACCCAAATTCTAAATGCTTAATTCTGTATCTTTCATTAACAAGAGATGTATACTTAAATTTTCTTAATTTTTCCTTCAACTTTATTTATTGAAAGCATTTTTGTTTCTACTTTTTATGTCTTCATTAGATATCTTATTTTTGTTGTTGTTTGTTGTTTTTTTTTAATTATTATTTTTTGTTGTTTTGCTGTTAAAAATGCACTGAGCATGACAGGGTTGGATTCTGACATAGTAAGTCACATGGGTTTTTCAGTCAGCCACTTTATCTAGTGTTTTCATTAAAATTAATTAAATCATATTGATTAGTAGGCTGTTATTACTTAAATTTTGCTATGCCATTTTCGTAATATTTTTGTTTTCTATTTCTAGGAATGTTAGACTTCAGCCTTTTTGGTGTTTCTTACGTAAGTTATAGATCTACTTTTTATATACAGTAGTACTAGTGTAGGGAATGTTCAAACACACGCCATATAAGCACACCACTAGCCTAGGTTCTAGGTCTTTTTTATTTACAGCAGCCCAAACAACGCCACTAGCAAGCTAAGTAAGCCTTATCTATTAATTTCACTCAGGAAAAAACTGACAATTACACAGTAAAAATACTTTGGTTTCAGGTTGGCCAACAATATTGTTATGTGTATTTAAAGCATTCTAAGTAAAATACTAATTATACTATTTGCACTTGTTTACTTAATTTGGTCTATTTAATAATGTAGCAATATAGCGTTAATTGTTATAACTAGAATAACACTGTTTTATGAATCTCTTAATTTTCAGACTGGGGCCGATATATGTGGTTTCTTTGAAGACACTACAGAAGAATTATGTGCACGGTGGATGCAACTTGGAGCATTTTATCCTTATTCAAGAAACCATAATGGAAAGGGTTGGGCAGTAAGTATGCCGAGGCCTTAGTCAGGATACTCTACATTTTTTACATTATCAAATGAGTTTTTTGTATTTCTTTATATGCATTAGATAGGTCACAATTCATGTGGAAGAAAATTCCTTATTTAGAGTCTATACTAGAAAGAGTATTCGTTCAAATGGATAAATTATTCTTTGATTAAGTGGTATAACTTTTAATAATACAGTCATATACTATTCTTGATTATGAGATTACATAGAAGTTGTACTTTTTCTTTTTACAGCGTCAGGATCCACCATTCTTTGGCGCTAAATTTGCTAACAACTCCCGTAAAATATTGCATACGCGTTATGAGTTATTGCCATTTCTCTACACTCTCCATTATGAATCAAACACATTGGGTAATACAGTTGTGCGGCCTCTTCTTCATGAGTAAGTTCATGTAACGTACATTATCTATTATCTACAATTGAAAAATTATGTAGCTTTTTATCAGGTATCAAATTTTCTATGCGCATACGTAATGAACAACTCATAGTAGGTCTAAAACCTTCCTATTATGTAAAATATCAATAGTTACTATTATTTCCTTCTTTTTAAGATTCACCAATGATGTCTTGACTCATACGATTGATCGCCAGTTTTTATGGGGTCCGTCACTTCTCATTTCACCTGTATTGGACCAAGTAAGTCTATAAGTTCGTGTTTAAGTGGTACAAATCAAATTTAACCGAGAAAAGAGTTGACATACTGGGAAGAATATGCTTAAAATAGTGAAACGTGCGTTGGCACGATGCTCATTGCAATTGGGATTGCTTGCAATGTTCACGATTTTCCATTTCAGTGTGTCAGAGGTAAATCATAATTATGCGTTGCAATCTCGTAGGGCAGTTTGTATTAAGGGCCCGTTTATACAACACCCTTTAACACTGCTTAGCAGCGATGTGTGTTAAACACATAAACGAAATAGGGATTCCATGCGATTACAAACAACTTGGAAAAGGCTACTTCAAAAAATCCCCATAATTGCATCCCTGCAATGCCGCCTGTCGACCTCTCAGACTGTATCCGGTGTTCCCAAGTAACGACAACTGCTCAACCAGAGCTGATATTATGTCGAAAACCGGTGTTTTAACGTACGGTAATTATGGTTACAGAGCATTATATATGATTTTATTTGTTTAAAATTGTAATCAGGAATGAATGTAGGAATGCAGAATATTAAAGTTGAATAATAGGTGGTATGTATTCCATCAGTGGCATGACCGATTAGAATTTTCAAACAGTAAAAATAATAATTATCATTATAATACTGGATACCTATTGCACCATAAGATTTATTCAAAAACACAATTTTGTTCTATAGGGAGAAGAAACCGTGAATGTCTACTTCCCGGAAGCGTCTATTTGGTATGACTTTTTTACAGTAAGTAAACTAATTCTCTTAATGTTTCTTATTATTCTTATTATTATCATAATTTGTCATTATGATCATATTGACGATGATGCTCCAACATGAAGATTGTCATCAGAGGTGACGTTATCATCATCATTGTTGTTGCAATACAATAAAATACATTGCAAAACCGCCCTCTATTGAACAAAATTAAAACCCATGAATGGAGCAAATGTAGGCTTAGTTAATATAATTGTTGCTTATTTTTAGGGTGAACGTCTTAATTCAGGTTACCAAGTTCTAGATGCACCAATAGACGTGATAAACCTCCATGTACGCGGTGGTTATATCCTCCCGACACAAGAGCCAGACAACTCTACCATGTTCAGGTAGTACAGTGGTGAAATATATTTTTTGTGATAGTCCATTTTTTATATTTTATTCTGATTCAACAGTAAAATCCAAGTTACATACAGAATGAAAACAAGACAATTAATAGATATTTATACAAAAATATAACATTTTGGAAAATATTCCCGGAAAAGTCAAAACGGGAGCATTGACGACATGGGCCTGGGTACCCATCTAATTTTTGCTTTTGGTGAGTGCAGTCCAAACTGATTAGTATATTGAGATATTAAATGTGTCGCACTATAAATAGTTATATGGTTGTTGACTTTGCGTTTTAGCTTTTATTCATTTTTTCTTGTGTATTTTTGTGATTATCAAAATGTATTGCAAACTGATAAATCGATATTTTATGTACTTTATAAATTGATGCTTTTTTGTAGAGTTCTGTATGTTGAGGTAAGTCTGAGACTGAACCCTTTTGTAAATTGTTTTTGAAGGGTGTTTTGATGTTTTTGCACTTACTACTATTGATTATTATATTTTATTAGATAATTGTTTAAAACAGGACCAATTAAAAAAAACAGACTGTCATATCTCGTCTGAAATATCTTGCATAAATATGGTTTAAATAAAAAAAAATTACTATATAAATAAAATTATTGTTCGAAAGAAAAACATATTTTTTAATTTTAATTATGTTCAGTTCCT